AATTTGAATTTGAAGAAAAAATTCAATCAAGAAAATAGTTAAACATTGTGGACCATGTGCACGTTTAGTTCTTTTCTTGTAGTTGGTAGCTGCCCTGCGGAAATTTCTATTGAGAGGGTTGGTAGAAGTGGTTTTGGTGGCTAAAGGGGTGGTGATGGTCACTTTTGGTTTGTCGTTGTGTTGAGTTAGCTAGGTTAAGTTTACCTAATTCTTGCGTTTTTTTTTTTCAAGCGGACACATGCGAGTTTCCGACCGACGTTAACAAGTGATGGAATGTTGATTCATTGTTTGTAAAGTCACAGTTCATGTTAGGATTTTAATCGTTAACTAGTTCTAACACAATTTAACAGACATTAGATTCTTTAAATAAACCACTTGCTAGAAGATTTCATGAAATTCACTTAATCAGGACTTGTTCTTTGTTTATCACAGTAGGAATAAGTTTCTGGATGCTTATACTTAAGTGTTACGTTATAACGCTTCTTAATCCTTCAGACAAGATTGGTAAGAGTTCATTTACGGCAGTTAAATTAACCTAACGTTGGCCACTTTGGGAAAAGACCGTGAAAAGTGCGACAGAATTCATGATATCGTGGACTATCTTTTAATGTGCGACGCACTACAAACTGTGAAACTCTAACTTCAAAATTTGTTCGTCAGCTTGCAGTATTCTTTCGGTCTTATCACATCCAGGATCGTGAGTTTGAGTCTTGAAGGCACCATGATCTCGGAATTTTATTAATCTAATGAATCCACATCACTGCTTGGTCTTTGTGCCGGTAATTATAAATTTTTTGCCTGAATGCCGGTCATTTCCGGGTCACTGCTAGATTTACGATAATATTTTTCTATTTTTTTCATCGATGGATTTGACTGTGAATGTATTTAGAAAAATTCTCTGCTGAAGTAATTAAAACATTTGTTAAAACTAACTAGTTCAAAATTGCCATAATACTTCTTCCTAAGATATAAAAGCAAAGAAAACTCTGCATTAAAGAAACTGGATGTAAATACACCAATTATTGCGGACGTGTGGCAGGCAAAAAGAGAACGAAATTTTAATAAAATTCTATACAGTGACAACGGCACCAAAGCGCTATAAGAGTCTGGCGATCGAAATATTTCAATGTCATTCTAGAGTACAGCAAAATGACCCATAGGGGACGTTGTAGCATGAGCGGAATTTGGGGCTCCTCGCCGTGGCTTTTCTCCTACCCACAACGGTGATTCTATTCTATCGCAAGCACTGCCGTCCAGCACCGCTGCATCACGAAGAGATGTGCCTGGACGAGCATGCCGTTACGGTCTCAAACTCTTGGTTGGGTCTCGGCTATTGGGACAAGTCGACAGCGTCACGTCATCCCGACCGCCCCTGACTTCTATTCTAGGCCTGCATCCTTTGTGCAGATGGCGCGACCGCCAGCTCGACAAGGAACCGCGCACTCCGCTTCCGCCACGTGTCATTGTGTTATTTACCTCAATTCCATCTTAAAGCTCCATTACTCAATGCATTCAATTGTTATTTTATACATTGGTTAGAGCAAAACTAGAATATTGTAGTGTAGTATGGAAACCTTACCATATAACATAATATAGATCTATTAGAGAATGTACTGAGAAAGTTTGCGAAGTATGTATATTTTAAGATGTTTGCTATATATTCTGTCAGACACTGTGATCAAATTAGTTTACTTGACAGTGTTGATGAAAATTCTTTACTTAGTAGGAGGAATATGTCATGTTTGATATTTTTACAAATAATTGTAACCGGACAAATTTATAGTCAAGATGTTCTCAATGAAATTAAGTTTAATTGACCCAGATTAGGCACCCGTATGCAGATAAAAAATATCAAAATATTGACATTTTCACAACTTTTGAGTAATTTTGGACGCTCGTCGTCCATCGTTGATGATGATGACTAAGATTCAAGGCGTAGTTTATTTGAACATAGCGATATTTTTTGTGTAATGTATGGATTTATACTTAAGAACAAAACTTATATTCATTTACTTGATTGAAAATGTTTTTATCCAGAAAATATTAGTTATTAATTATTTATTGTTCGAGAAATTTTCACAAAAACTAATACTTAATAGTGTTTACGAATTCTCATATGTAATAATTTTCTAAGTTCTTATTCAACTGAGGTTAATCATTTTATGAGTTGCGTTGTTTAACGAGACTCCAAAATAGTATATATCTATATTAAAGAACGAGTTTCATAAGGCACGAATCCAAGTTTATAGAACGAGCGGCGAAGCCGCGAGTTATATTGAGTATGAGTGCCACAATGGCCTTACGAACGACTTATTCATACTATTTTTTCTACCGCGCACGTTTTTTGGCAAAATTTATTTGAAATTTGCGTTTTTTTAAATCTGGGGAATTTTGTCGTGATTGGTGATGGGTTGGTCTGACACGAACCCCGAAATATTTGACGTTCGAATTTTCACAACAACAACTGTAATTCGAATCAATTCGAGCTAAAATTGGTTAAAATGTCTTGTGAAGAAGTTAGTGAAGTCCTTACGCCCCCCCAAATACGGGAAATTTTAATTTGAGATTTGCCACTAACATTCACCTGACATTTCTCGTCATGGCTACCAATCTTACCGATCTAAATTACACCAGATCTATTTCAGAACCCCTTTCTGCTATTAACGAACTGCTATGACGTCATTTGGGTGCTTTAATAGCTCTATCAGAAAATAAAAAAACGTGCGCGGTAGAAAAATAGAATAAAGTTCTTTAAATTTAGGGTCCACTTGAAGCATAGATATTTTCATATTTCCTTGACATTTCACAGCGCTTAGAACACGAAAAATTGGTCTCCCGTTTACGTCTGTCTATCGTCTGTTGGCGATTTTATTAGGTAGTTAGATACGCAATAACACTGCGAACTGCCTCCAGTACTACAGAAACCACACAATAAAAGTAAGTAAATTAAAACTCGACATAAAATTTAATAACGGACCCAAGAACGTAGACAAAGAAAAACTGGAAAAACTGGCAGTAGAAATAAATATAGCAATCAGAGATTTTACAGTGAGAAAAAAAACAAGAATAGAATGCGCAGAGATTTTTAGAAAAGAAATTGAAAAAACACCAATGAAGAACAGAGAAAAAATAAAAGTGGCCCGAACTTTTAAGAAGAAAATAAAAGAAGAACAACTAGTAATAGGAAAAGCAGATAAAGGTAGCTCAATAGTGATAACGAAAAAGGAAGGATCTGAAGCTTGATACTCATTACGAAAATTTTCTTTGTACCATTCTTTTAAGTCCACCGATTGTGCATAATTTTCATTTTCTTAAAGCAGAATTATCTGGAACTGAAAATTTTCAAGAGATGCCTTCAACATCAACAGCCATATTTGCACCTACAACTGCAGTATTAGGGAAATGTGCTACTACTGTTCTCGAAAAAACTGTAACGCCAATAATTACAAAAAATTGCCAAACCTTACGATTAACTTTCATACCAATTAAAATAATTAATTGTTAACATTTTCAATGTATAATTATAGTTTGTAGTTAATAAATAGCTAAAATCAAATATTAACTTCTTTCACATTCAAATATTTTTGAGGTGTGGTCGTGGAAAAAGTATAGTACACAACTCGTGTGCTAACGCTCATTACGCGCTCGTTGAATTACCTATTTACCACACTCGTTATGTAATATACTATTAATATATGTATTTGGCTAGAATCTGAACATGGTCTGAGACAGCTCGCCATACCTCAGTATGCTTAGTTTTCCACAAAGTATAGGCCGCATTGTAGTTAAAAACAGAAAACTGGGGAGCATCTTCTACAGGGACAAATGTGTTCACTCATTTCCCTGTATCTTTGATTAAAGTTGCGACGTTATCTGACAAATAAAGCGTTATACCTACTTACTGAAAATTCTTCTACGTCACTTCATCACGTTTGCTGAGTCTTCTGGTCACGAGTCATTACAAAATATACCGGAAATTGTAACTCCAATAAAAAATTGTAATCGATTATCACCTATAGGTATAGCGATAAATGTTAATTCTTGATTTTAAACAAAAACATGGAAAAGTTATTAATGTCGCTTACAATAACCAATTAAACAATTTTTTCGTAAAAAAACATAAGTACATAACAATTGTGTTTTCTCTATTATTAAACAAAAAGTACTCCATGCATGGTACCGTTTAGTATTATCTACAAATCTGCTGAATCGATTTGTAAGAAAACTGAAAAGAAAGAAATGACAAATAATAATACAAATAAAAAATGGAAAAAAAATTAGGTAAATACGCATGTTGTGAAAACAAAATGAATTAAAATTTAATTTTGCAGGACCCTTTCTACCAGAACATCCTAAATTACTGGTTGTAAAAAAATAATTCAACATATATGCGAAGGTAAGAAAATAAATCAAAAATTTCCACTATTCATAATTTTGTTTTAGCATTCCAACCAAGTTGGATGCATCAGTCGGAATTCTCGATAAACTCTTACAAATATCACAAGGATAAGAACCGATGATTCGATAAACTGACGTAAGAATTGTTATTCCATGAAGCAATGTCGAATACAGGACTAAAATTACCAAAATGGGACAACATTTTCGAGGATTGTTTATTATGTGTGAGTAGAATCTGCCATTATTTTTGCTTAATATTGTTGAACGTACTTTGTGCTCACATTTTCTAAATACTAATAATAATAGTGGGTCTATTTTTGTATATTTTTATTATAAGTATATAAATTTTTTCAGTGACAGACAAATTATCCAGCTTAAATCATCGTCCTTTGGGAGACCGCCCTACGAATTTCTGTCTATAAAAAATACTGGCTTAAGAACATTTTTTTGTTCGGAGTATCATATGCATGGAAAAGTATTCCAAAAATGGAATACGCCTTCTTGTATGTTCAACAAAATCTATGACACGATCTTACGAAGGTATTTTAATCTTAGAGTCAACAAATAAAATAGAGTAACTGATCAAATATTTCAGGAAACATTGTCTAAACGGAGTTCAACAATTTAACTATTTAAAAAAAAAGGAAATTTCAGCAAGAGCTACAAATGTTTTTTGATGTATTTTTGGACCGTGACAAGTGCACAACGTAATGTTTAGGGCTTGGTCTGGACATGGCTTTCCAACGTAATCGTCTTCGAAAAGCATAAAAAGTATCAGGGATTTTTGGAAATTGGCAGAGGTATATTTTTTATGTTCAAATAAAAAAATAACTATTTTACTGTTGATTACACAACTGTACACTGTTGTAACACAACTATTAATAATAATTTGTAAAAACTTAAGTCTATTAATAATATATCTTTACAGGAATCGAAGGAAAACCTATAGTCAAGACACCCCATCAGTCTAATCCAGAAGAAAATCAAATATGTAAACAAAAGTGTATGAATCTTAGCTTAGTGGAATACTTATGTCAAAAAGCATCTTCGAAAAATATTTGTTTTTAATATAGTTAGTTACATATATGAAACTTTTCTAATTTTAGTAACAACTGTACTGCCATGTTTATTAAATTTGTTATACTTAATTCACTCTTATTTTATCTTGCTCGACTATTAATGAATTATTGCAGGTTCATTTACAAAACGGACCAAGTTTCGATTTTAACAATAAAAATGATGAATTGAGTACCTAAATATAACAAACCAATCGAGTTAATGATTAAAATTGTATTCAAGAATATGACAGTCTCTTGCACTATCAACTTTAATAAACAGTTTAAGATCATCAGCAAAAATCAATTTTTCACACGTAATTTCATTAACAATGTCGTTAATAAATGTTATAAATAATAAGGGTCCTAAATTGGACCCCTGTGGGAAAGATGGATGGATTTAGAGCGAAAATTACGACATATATAACAACTTGCTGCCGGTTCATAAGATATTATCGGAATAATGTGATCAAGGGATCTGAAAAACCATATTGCCGCAACTTGTCGAGTAATATACGTAGTGGTCAATTTTGTCAAATGCTTTACAAAAATCCGTATAAATTGTATCCACTTAGCCATGATTATCAATGGATTCAGAAACGAAGTGTGAAAGACATGTGAGGTTAGTTACAGTTGATCTTTTTTCAAAAAATCGATGTTGATAAGGAGTAATAAATTGTGAAAATGGGATGTGCTGTTTCTGATTTGAAGGGGAAAAAAATGGGACAGACATACGGAAACGGTAAACTCTGGAAGTAAAAATAGTTATAATGAGGTCGAATCCGCCGTAGTCTTACTATAAAATGTTATGCAATTTAATTTTTGTTTTTAGTGAAAATGTGCTGGCACACGTAATCTCCGAAACTACTGGACCGATTGTTGTCAAACTTTGTATGTATATTAGAAATATCATGTAGAAGGTTAAATGCTATCCAAAATTTGGATATTCATCCCCACCAAGAATTTGATGACGTCATTTCAATGAATTATATTTTAAATGATATGAATGTTACACGAAAATATGCAAGGTATAATAACGTTATATTACCAACACCGGACAGAAGTGGCGCAGTGGCTATAAGTCGGAAACAAGGAGACGCTGTGACTACTTTTCTTTTGTGCTGTGACTAGTATTATCTATATTGATGACGTCATAACACATTTTTATTATTATGGTCTAAACTCAAAGCTGTCATGTTTCTATAACTCTGTGTCTAGCTGTGACTACGATTTGATCGCTCTTACTGAGACTTGGATTCATCCAGGTGTTAGAGACTCAGAACTATTCGATAAGAATTTTATAGTGTATAGAGAAGATAGAGATTTTAAGAAAACTGGCCTTTCCAGAAAAGCCGTAAAAGATTAATTTATCTCCATGAAAATTAATTTAGACCATTCTCTTTCTCATACTCTTCACTTGATTGATGTCTTGGCTGTTAAAGTGTCAGTTGACTCAGTTATACTGTTACAATTTTTGTGGTTTACTTTCCGCCATCTCTCTAAATTGATTACTTTCGATCTGTTCTTGATAGGCAGTTGAATGGTTCAACAGGAAGCTTTAGTGATAATGTTACACTGACGGAGGTGAGTTCTGAACATGTTTTCAAAGTCATAAAAAGAGTAAAAGAAATCATATTAAGGGACCAGATGGGATCCCCGCTTTTCGCACAACCTTTGTCTGTCATCTTCAACTTATGCATTCATTCTGGAATTTTTCCGAACATTTGGAAAATATCTAAAATTATTCCAATCCAGAAAGGTAAAGACCATCATCAATACTTTTTCCAAAATATTCGAGTTCTTAGTTTACAACCAACTTTATTTTCAGGTTAATAATTATAGTACACCTCACCAATACGGTTTTATGCATGGCAGATCCACGACAACAAATCTTTTCTGGGTTACTCAGTTTATTCCTGATTCCATTGATGACGGTTGTCAAACTGATGTTATTAAACTTTTCACGTCATACTAAAATTCCACTTTACGCAGGTTCCTTAAATACATTTTTTTAGAGAGGATGGTGTATGTCCACCCATGGGATTCTCTCAGTCTAACCTTCTTCAGCGGTTGTTTGTTGACATGATGGTTTAACCTTTGTGCAGAATTGTTAGATAACTTTTTCATTTATCACACATTTGGTCAAGGACCACGAATATCAACAAAGAGATTACAAAGTGCCGATTAAAAATTTCGTAGTATAATAAAATTATTCATGCAGAAAATGGTTTCAAAAATTGTGCTCTTATTAACGTTGCTGTTCAGAAATGTGTTCCTCAACCCTAGTGACACTGACGACGTAAGTACGCTTTTAAAATTCATTCATAATTTCTATACAGTTGACAAAAGTATAGCACAGTATACTGTAAAATGTCACCCCAAAAGACATCAACACATATTTTGTTAAATCAGCTGTTTTGGTTGGCATTTATCTTATTTTTTGACAGTTTTCGGTGGTTTTTACCAGCAAAAGTCAACCAAAATTTCAACCCACCGTAAACGATCCTTTCTTTGTACGAGCGGAATTGCTATTTGAAATAAACACTATACTTGGCGGATTAAAAGAATCCGTAAATAACCTGCAAAACATAAAGCAGGAAATTATCGAAGAAGTCGAAAACGTGGTAGAAGAAAAAATCAGTATTTACGAAGCAGACCTTAAAGAGCAATTATCGCAAACAAAAACCGAAATTCTGTCAGAAACGAAAGAAAATGTTATACGACAATTAACAGAGGCGAAGAATGAAATGACGATTCAGATAAACGCCGTGAAAGAATCGGGATTTTCGCTTTATTCTATCATCGAAAAGAAACTCATCGAAACAAAAAATGAAGTACTTGATGAAATAAGCAACGCGCAAATACATTTCACCAACCTGGAAAATCAGTTGAAAGAAACGGAACAACACATTGTGGCTGAAACAAAAGAAAATGTTAAATTGGAAGTGATAGAAAACAATTTCAAAATTTATGATACGGAACTAAAAAATGAATTTGATAAAACTAAAAAGCAAATCCTCACTACAACGGAACAGCAGCTAAGTCTAGCAAAGGATGAAATATTTAATGGAATAACTTTTGAGCTTATAAACACGCAGGCAAAAATTATTAATGAAGTTCGGCAATGTCGAACGGTACCAAGTGACTGTAGAGAAGTTCAGAGGAGAGGATACAAAAGTTCTGGTATTTATCGCATCCAGCCAAAGATTTCCTTGGAAAAATTTTTGGTTTGGTGTGACATGTCAACTAGGGGAGGTGGATGGACTTACGTTCTGAATAGATTCGACGGTTCGGAAAATTTTTATTTTAATTGGACTGATTATAAGCAAGGTTTTGGTAATCTTTCAGGAGAACACTGGTTGGGTTTGGATCATCTTTACGAATTGACGAGTGAGTTTTTTTTATCGTTGACAGTACTGTACAATGTGATTTTGCTATGTATTTCAGACAGCAAACCTACCGAGTTGTTATTCCAACTAATGGATAGGGACTCGAAAACGGTTTATGCTTTATATAACAGGTTTCAAATTGGCAGCGAAGCCGAACACTATCAAATAAAAACTTTGGGATCGTACGATGGAAATGCTGGAGATTCTTTCCGGAGGCACGATGGTGCAAAATTTAGTACCGCCGATAATGACCATAGTTCCCAAAGCTGTGCCTCTAGTTTCGGTAAACTTTATTTAATTTTAATTTGGTTTATTAAAAGGTTCTTGCAGAGAGTGGCTGGTGGTTCACAGATTGTCATCTGGTGCTTCTTACTGGGAAATATATAAAAAACCCAACGCTTGGGTATTATTCAGCAATAAAGTGGTATCACTTTCATGGCTATAACTATAGTCTCAAAGAAGCAAGAATGATGATCAGAACGATTTCAGTTAATTTGTCTAAACACAACAAATTCTTGGTTTTTGCAACTTGAATAAAAAATTGGTCTAAAGAGTTTAGACAGTACTTCCCTCGCTGTTGGAAACTTGACGACTGCATGCCTATTGTGTTTTTTTTTTCTCAATACATTTTTGTAGTGGCAATTTAAAAAAAAATTGTGATGGCGTCATCAACATTTTTGCAAGGACACGTATATCAGTTGGGATAGATGTAGTGTAATACTAAGAATAAAATTATTGTATTCCCAAATTTTCGGGAAAATGAATTGGGTCGTTTTGAATATTGATTTCTTATAATCAATAAAATAACGAAACAATTTACTCACGTAAACGGCGCCGGTGTGTAACATCTAGAGAACGGACTTCTGTCGGGCTAGGCAAGGCCAAACTCGGTACGGCTCGTACGGGATGCGAATTCATTGCGGTTGCGGACTGCACTTCGTTTATTTGAGATTAGAATAACGTTGTTTCGTTGCACTCTGCTGTTAATTCCCGTTCTCATTTACTTAGCCGTTTGATTAATAAATCGTTAATTATATTTATGGAATTAGTACTGATTAAATTCAGTGATTATCTATCACCCGCTACTGAGTCCCGGCGATCCAACGCGTCCCCTCCTATAATCGTGACGTAGCCCGACAAAAATCCGCTGTCTAGTAATATGAAAGGCAACTGAAAATCGTTTATGTATAAACATTCTTAATTTAAAACAGAGAAACTGTAAACAAAACGACCATCGGTTTTATTGCTTCGACTTCCGCTTATTATATAAAACATTGGGTTTTATTTTAATTCTCGACGGTGAAATTCACAATTGGTTGATTATAAACATGTCTATTTCACATTCGCGGAACCAAGTGAGCGCATAAAACAAATGCAGGTCTGTAATGTTAAAGTCGATGTAAATAAGCGTGCTACCCTTATGTTTCAACCGAGTTTTTCCTTTAACAAATTTTGTGTCTACCAAATTGGGTTGGTTGGGGTGTAATACTAATAATAAGTGTTGCCTTTAATTTAATCAATAAAATAAATTGACTTCATTAATTTTTTTGAACCACCTCTTAAGAAAATCTAAAAAATATGAATGGAATGATAAATCACAAGTACAAACTCATCATATTTTTTGCATTTTAGATAGGATTTATTCAGCAAAATTTAAGGGTGACGTCATCAATTTTTTTAGGAGGGATGAACAAATACATTTTGAA